ATGCAATAATAATCTGGAACCTACTACATGATTAGAGCTGTTTTGGAGCTACTAAAATACGGAGTGAGTGAAAGAGAAGCTGAGAGCAAGATTAAGATCTTGCCTCAGCAGTATGAAGCAGTTTTCTATATGGCAGCGCTCTTCATTGTCACATGAAAAGTCACTCTTACAGAGCTCAAAAACTGCAGTAAGTGCTCTTCACCACCCAGATTTGTTTCTCATCTTCCCTTTCTGTCATGCGGCAAAACTAATGACAGCTATCTCTAGAGAAACACTCCTACCCTTCTCAGGTCTGCACAGTCCCAACAATTAGCCAAATTTTCATCCACTTGAGTACAATATTGCTTCCAAACATAATTCTGCCAAGTGCCTCATCCTGACTGAAAACATCTGCATACGCTTTGTCCCTCTAGGTACCAACCTATTATTCTGTCTACCTCGCCCCAACTCACCATCATGTGATCCACCACCCTAAACTGAAGAGATAGTCTCATGTTCAAAAAGGTTCACAAAATTGTCTTTTTCCTCCAGCTTAAATTGCACTTGCATCCCAGTCAACTATTTCAAGCACGTGGCTGGTGCATCAGTGCCAAAACTGGCTGAAAGACATCTTGCATCCCTCAAAGGCAGAGGAAGAGGACATTTTCCATGAAGTTGTTATGTAACAAAACTTGGGAGTCTGAGGAATTTGTCACAAACCTCCCATGTACCAGAAGTATTATGTGCGTGGCTTGCCTGCTTTAGATTATTCTTGTAGCAGTCCTTTCAGTTATACATAAGCAGGGAAAACAATAAAAGCTATTTCCCATTTTACTTTCAAAAGATATTGGAATAAACTGTACTGTAGAGAATATTTTAGACATGATGGGATTAGTGACTTTCAAGGAAAAAACCAAAGTATCGTTGCATACAAACTTCAAAAAGCATGTTTACTGAAAGCACTACAAGTAATTCAGAACTTTGGAGGCTGAGTTACATATTCTGTAAAAGACCAGTTTGCAGAAGACTAAAACTGAGAAAATGCTAAAATAACAATCACTTATTCCATCAGAGTTACATTTCTAACGATACATTCCAATGCTTGTAAATTCATCTACAACAATAACACAATATTAAGTTAGTCCCATCAGTTACAAACAAAACTGAGTATTACAGATGTTTTACCTGTTTCCCTCTAATGAGGACAATTCTTTAGTGCCTTGGGAATGTAGAATCTTCTCAATTTTCTCAACAGACTGAATAACATGAATAAGTCTCAGGACACACATCTATAATTAAAGAAAGATTTTTCGTATGTCTGATCCCAATCCCAATTTATGTTACCTAATGATCCTGAAGCTAATTTGAATGTTTTTTAGGTTGATTTTTTTTTTTTCTGGTGTGAGTTTTCTCCCTCCGTTGTAATAGTTTAGTCATGTCTTAGGTGAAGTATTGCTCACCTAGTCCATAAAACGCCACAAACAAATGTTACTCACGGTCACAGAACAGCTGTTCTTATCCCTGCTTTTTTTCCAAGTTAAGCACAAAGACAAATGTGTGTGTCCCCCATATAAAAATTAAACTGCCATATTTCAATTACATTCATAACAAACAGGTTTATATACTATTACAGGCAGAAACAAGAGTAACTATAATTTTAAAAAGCCAACCAAATCAAACATATATGTTTCTGGCAAATAAAAAAAAGATTTACTATCAACTAAATACTGTAAAAAATGAAGTCTGTCAACCAAAATGTCAATAATTATTTTCACAAGTACAAAATCCTGCACTGTGTGCATCTAGACATCTTAGAACTTTTAAAATTTCATTTTCTCTGGATTAATGGCAAAACCAGAATCATCCTAAGGGGGATCTTTTGAAAGTAATAATTCATCTGTTATACCTTTTTTCTTCTAATATCTTCTTGTTTAGTCATCCGGTCATCAACCGCTTGAATTCCTTCACTGACACATGACTTAAGACTCTGTGAGACAGAAAGTCAGTATGTAAAGCTGGCTTCCCACTTAATGTTTAAAAAATCCCTAACTCAAAAATCTAAACCTAAACCAGAAGACAGATTAATAAGAATATAGGACTAATAAAAGCCACGGTACATCAACTGCCCTTGAAGTGAAAAAAGCCAGACATAAGACTAAATAACTGAAAGTATAACCTGCTGCTTAAGTACTGCTACCATAAGTATCATCCAGAAGTGTTCTTTTAGTACCTTACAGAGAACAAATCACCTTTTACCCAGAAACAGGCAATAAACCAAATATGATTTTACGTCTTGAAACTGAAGTTACAAATCAGATTTAAGTAGCAGTTTTCACATAATAAATTTTTCTCTATGCTAACTGAACCTATTTTCTGTTTCAGACATCAGGGCTGTGATATTTTAAATGCATATTTATGCAGCAAACATGCCTTTGAACTGGCTGCCAAGATGATCAAAAATTGCCCTTTGCTAAATACCAAGTCACTGTGGAAGAGCCAGAATAAGACCCACCTTCGAGAAGGTTACCTTTTATGGTTAAACCACAGGACTGAGCAAAAAGTCCTTAATGGGACTTTGTCACATCTGACTTATTTACTACCATCTTTGAGTTACTCAAATATTAAAAGTTTCTAGATTTCACCACAGACTTGTCTTGCAAGAATCCATTCATTTATCAAATTTAAGGTATCCTTTACCTCTTGGTTGAAAGGCACTATAGAAAATGTAAATGTACTGCTACTACAACTGCTTGAAAATACAGTGCCTCTCCTACTACCACTCTAAGTCATCAATTTTCACAGAGATGTTTATTCTAATTATTATTAACATGAGTAAAAGACATTCTGTACATCATATGAAAGTGAGCTGAAGTTTACCAAGCTGTGTATAATGATTGAGCATACCATAACTTCTTCCCTTAACTGTCCCAAGGGTACTGAAAGTTGATTAAGAGCCTTGTCCATGCCAACCTAAAGAAATTATCATAAAAACATTTATGACTTTTTTTGTAAGTTCATACGTGAATTACTGACAAAGCCTATCATTTTACAGATACTAAAACAGAACTGAGAAAAGATACCTCCCTTTATAGTCTTCAGTTGTAAATGTAATGTAAAAATATGTTACCTCAAATACAGTCATAAAGGTATCAGACTGTCACACAAACCCAAAAACTAAAGAAAATTTCGACCTGCAGAAATTTTTCTTCACATAAAAATGTTAAATCTGTCTTTGAAACTGGGTGAATTGGAGTGAAAGAGCAGGATACATAGCGGACAAGACATTTTAATATGAAAATTATTGCAATTTTCAGTCAAGTAGGTTGGGGGTTTTTTTATGATATATTGACTGTATAGTAAATTTAAAGATTCCTAAAAGAATCCTTTAGAATGGCCTTATTTGTATTATTGCTATTCTATTTTAATGACTTACTGCCTTTAATTTTAAACTACTGGCAGTTTGAAAAAAAATGTCTGCTTTGCATCTAACTTCCTAATGAATTAGTTTTTCAAGACAAAAAGCATACATCTAAAGCATTTATTACAGGCCAACAGCAATTCTGTACAGTAACTAAGCTCTACAGGAACGGTCTTTCAGTTTCTTTCAGTGCAAATGGTCACGGTTTAGGATGTCTTAAATCTAACTATGACAAAATAAAAGCCATATACTTTTAACAGGAAAAACAAAAATCCCACTAAACCATATTTAAGTCTGAACTACACAGTATGACTTAATAACACTTACTAGGTTTGTTGAGAGATTAACAAAATCTGCATAGTCCTTATTTATGAGTTCTACCATAGCAGTTTTAAGGAGTTTGTAATAGAGCTCCAGATCCTCTCTGAGCTCTTCCAACTGCACTCGTTTCCTGCAGTCTGATACAAAGTGATCAACATCAAAATCCGGCTGAAAACGAAACAGGAAAAGAGCAATGGATGTAAGCAAAAAATTCAAACCAGGAACACACCCTTCCCCACCCCCAAAATAAAGCATTCCATATGCCAGTGATCTGACCCAACTAAAGCTCTCAAGAGCAAAAAGGCTACTTAAGAGTAGTTTCCCATGTTCCAAAGTCTTGGTCTTTAGTCTCAAAAACGCACAATGTCATGGGTCAGAGTACCCAAAACCCTAGCTCTCCAAAATACAGGGTTCTGTATTCCCTGTATACACTTTTACAAACCCCGACCAATCAAAAATCAAAAGCTCTCCAAGCAATGAAGCCTCATCGTTACGACCCGGGCCTGCCCTCGGAGGGGAGCTGCAGCACCTGGCGCGGGCCCGAGGGAGAGACACTCGGGTCACCCGGCCGCAAGGCTGCCGGCTCCCACCTCGGGCAGGGTCACCCCCCCCCCACCTCGAGCAGGGTCCCACCCCACCTCGGGCAGGGTCGCCCCCCACCTCGGGCAGGGTCGCCCCCCACCTCGGGCAGGGTCGCCCCCCACCTCGGGCAGGGTCGCCCCCCACCTCGGGCAGGGCTCCGCGTCGGTCCCGCCAGACACGGGCGCAACCCCCGCCTGGAGACGGCCGCAGAGCTGCGAGCCACCTGGCTTTGCAAACGGCCCGTCCCCCCCCCCCAATTTCAGTGACACACTCAGCGCTGCTCCGGGGGCCTCAGCCCGGGGAAGAAGCCGTGGCGGAGCTAAAAGATCCCGACCAAGGCTCCGGGCAGAGAACCCGCCACCCCCCTTCCTCAGCAGGCCCCCCCGGCCCTTCCGCGGCCCGCCCCACCTTCATGAACTCGTCCTTGTCAAAGCAGAGGTTCCCGGGGCCTCGCGGCAGATTCATCTTCTTCACCTCCATGACCGGCCCGGCCCGGCAGGCCCAAGGCGACGGCTGTACCCGCCACCGCCACGGCACGGCACGGCACGGCACCAGCGGGGCAGGCCGCAGCGTGCGCCAAGAGAGGCGCAGCGGCCGCCGCGGCAGCGGCCCCTGGAGGGCTCCGAGCGGCCCTGCAGGCGGCAACAGCCGGGGCGCGGCGGCGGGCGGCAAGGAGCCCAAAATGGCGGGCTGGGGGGGAGCCGGGCGGCGTGTGGGGCACGGGCCTTTAAAGTTGGCCTGCCCAGACTCTTCGTAGGAAGCTTTTTGGTTCCTGCTGACCTGCGAGGTGAGGGAGTTGGGGGGTGCTTGTTGTCCCGCGGCAGGCCCCCAGCATGTAAAACTGACCTGGTTGTGTAAAACTGCGAAGGCTGCCCGTCAAAGCCCATGGCACAAGCCATGGAGATCCAGGGCTTCGGGGGTGGGAACGGGCTCCAGGGGATGGCATGGTGGTTCCCCCCCCCGGCCCTGAGCAGGGTGAGCCAGAGCTGGGGGTCCAGGGCCACATCTCTTCAAGGTTTGGGTATTGCCAGGGTTAGAGAACCTGCAGCATCTCTAGGTGAGCTGTGCCAGGGTCTGACTAGTGCTCTTAACAGCCAAAAAATGTTTTCCTTATGTTTAAATTTATTGCAGTTTGTGCCCACGTGGTCCTGAGTAACAGGAACCGAGTCTTGTAGTTTACCTCCTCCATCCTCCTACTTGTGAGCAGACTGTTCTGTTAGGGTCTTGTTTCCTTCAGACTCTTTTCAAGGTCACTTATGCCTTAGTGAAGACAAATTTAGCTCTAAAAAGCCTCCCTGCTGTCACTTGCATTTCTGTTTGCTGCCTCAGGATGGAAGACAGCAAACGATCTCATTCCTTGCACGTACATTTTATGGATTTAATTTTGTTTTGGTGAGCTTAAACGAGGAGCAAGCCCAGCGCCTTACCAATCAGTTATAAGGGCACATCTGCTGTAGCTCTGCCAGTTGCTCTGTGGGCGATGGCAGAGAAGGCTCCTCGGGCCTGATGGACGTGGGTTCAGTGGCACTGTGGTGGTATGATGGGCTGGAGACCCCCAGACCTCCTGGGCAGCCAGCATTTTGGCAGGGCCAACGTATACGTCCCCGCTTAACGGTGGACAGAGCCCAGCTGGTCTGTAATTTGTGCCGGTGATTTATGGCTGGTAATCACATTAGGACTTCCCTGAGTTGTTAGAAGTATGAAGAGCTGAGCAGTTCGGTGTTGAATGTGGTGACCACATACACCTGCTGGCTGGCTCCTTGTGTGCTAATTGCCCCTGCTTGTTTTCACCCTGTCCCTTTGGCAAGCTCTTCAAGACTGACATATTTTATGGTGTCCAACCCTCGCAGAAATCTCAAATGTTGGCAGGCAGGGTTTATAGCTGTAAGGTGTTGTCAGCTAGAGAGCATAAGAGATACACCCACCACATAAATCCACACCAGCACTTTGATATAACTAGCTATGAGATAGCTATGACTATATGTATCAGATCAAAAAGGATTTCTTATGTTGTGATATTTAAATGTTTACATTCTGATACAGGAACAAAGCCACATTACTTTTCAGCTATCTTTTTAATTTTAATGAACTGGATGCTTGAAATTAAAATTCTAACCTTAACAAAGGAGTTACACATACTTTTTTAAGGTCTTATGTATTAGCTAAGACAAATCTTGCTCTAAAAAGACCTACTGTTGCCATTTATGGTTTTGTTTACAAAGGTCTAATTACAAAGATCCTTGAGGAAATAAAAAGTATGCTTCCACTTGAATTTGTTTATTGATAAGCTTTTTACACTTTTCATATTTATTGATGTAATTGTAAATTAAATATGAAGCTTGTGGAAGTCAATAATTTGTCAAAGGAAACTGCAATATAACAATTTCAGTAGCTTAATAGTAGTACTCATGGGTTATTTCCACACGCTATTCCTGAACAACCATATTCACCTGGGTCAGTGGTGCACAAAGCAAGGTTTCTCCAAGACAGAAGAGACTACAAGGCAGTAAGGGAATTAGCCATTCCAAAGAGTTGTATGCAGCTCTCTTCCATTATTTATGTGCTACAATTACTTAGCTCATCTCTACTACAAGCCCCTTCATCCCTTTTCCTTCCCAACTCTCATCACTGTCACTACAAGATTTCCAGGCTTAGAAAACACAGTTTTAAACTCTTTCCCATCATCCTTTCTCAACCACAAGACATGACACTTAACAATTTCCTGTAAAAACTGTAATCACTATTTTATCTGCAGTTTTTGGATAACGTATCATTAATGGACCATTAGATGAATGAAGAGAGAGCACCTGAAAGTCTATCTCAATATTATTGCTGTTATCTGAACAGGGCTGATGTAGGTGCCAGACAGTAGAAGAGCTACTTTTAGCTCTTGTGTGGGTGCTGAATTTTAAAGATTCCAGCATCCCTTCTTATTCTCAAATAAATAACATTTCAGGGGATGCGTAATGATATGACAAATGATGTTTCGTATAATTATATCATCATTTTCTCAAAGGCTGCCAGTGGCTAATCCACTATCATGGAAATACTTCCATTCCAGTATATATCAGTTAAATTGGGAAGGAAAGCAGCTAGATTTACCTCCCACCACATTCTTAAGATTTTTCTCTGGTTTTATTATTTTAAAAAGCTGAAGGTATTGCATACATTTTATGATAAAGGAGAAAGCATGACAGCATGCAGCAGTCAGGGACAAAGATACTACAATTAATTTGTGGTAGACACTCCAGGTACCAAGAAACTTCAGGAAATGTAGATAGTATTAGACAAACTAATGTGCCAGTGCTGATTAAGTATTTTTAATATCTTTCCTTCCTAAACTGATGTGTCCATCAATGTATCACTTGGCTGTCTGCTAAAATCATGGAAGAAAAATTCTGTGTTAGCTGCTTTCAGTAGATGTTAGAAACAATGAACATCAAGAAATAGAAGTTCAAGGCAGAAAAGGGTATTTCCCTAATATTAAGATCTTACTGAGTGCCTTTATTTTGTTTCCTTTTGGGAATGGAATTACATACATGAATAAAGGAAGAAGAGTTTATGTCCCTGGTTGCAGTTCTGAACATAGAAGTCAATGAGTGAATGCTGCTGATTTCTGTGATAACTCTCAGTCACCACAACATGTCCCTAACTCCAAAGGTGTAAATAATCCTACTGCAGCCTTGGTCCTAAATGAGCAAATTAAAGAAGTTTGCAAATTCCTCAAGTTGGGAGCCAACTATAAAATGCAGTAATGCCATTGTTTTGTGATTATATTAAAATATTATTTTATGTATATGATATAAACAAACATACATCTTGACAGAAGGAAGATGTTTTTTACATTATGAACCATCATTCACTGGAACAACCTTCACAGGAACATGGTGGAGTCATCATTGCTGAAAATTTTAAAGATGCGATTGGACAGGGTGTTGTATAATCTCATCTAGGCTCCTTTTCTCATGAAAGGTTGAACCAGATGATCTTTGGAGTTCCGTTCCAACCTGGGTTGTTCTATGATTCTGTGATATGTGCTGTAAGATCTATAGTGAACATACGTAAAATGTAGAACTGCAGTATAAAAATGGACCAACTTAAAACATATTTGAACATATATCATGTTAAAATATTGCAAGATCATCCTCTTTCCCTGATGTGTTAAGTACAGTCTAATACTTTACATCGAAGATATGGTGAGTACAGAGAGATGAAGGAGAGAGTCAGGAGGGGAGGCAGGGAAGGAGGAAGCTTCAGCTCTCTCATGTTTGAGTTGCCATGCCCAAAGAAGTCATGGCATAAAGGAGCTGTTTAATTTATGACATCCTGCCTCAGTGACCCAAATAATAACTAAAAAAAGGCTGTGGGTTTCCACCTTCTCCTCCTCCTGACATGTTCATGATGACAGTGACGAAAGTTCTCAAAATGGGACTTAATTATTTTGAGTTCATCTGAAAATTTCTTCTGGGTTGGTGACTTGTTAGCTGGCTAATTAGAGTTCAGTGATATCCCAGACAGCACAAAAGTAGCAAAACTGGAACTGAGATAACTCCCTGTAACTGATTCAGCAGCCTCTTACCCAAAATTTAGGGACTATCAACTTGTTTCCAACAGGAGGGGAAACAGATGGTAGAATTGTTTATTTTTTTGGTGATATGCTTATTATGACAAAGTACAAAAACCTATCTCTTTTAAGACACGAGGATTCACACAACAGCACAGTATATTGGTTTGTGGATCCAAACTTTGTTTTGCCAGTGTATTGCCCAAAAGTGCCTGCTGAGCTTTTAATTTGGACTACATTATTCACAAGGAGGGCCATGAAAATGGTCATGGGGCTGCAACACCTTTCTTATGAAGAAGAACTTAGAGAGTTGGAGGTTTTTAGCCCGGAGAAGAGAAAGCTCTGCGATACCTTATTTCAGCCTTTCAATTTATAAAGGGGGCCTATAAGGAAGATGGAGAGAGACATTTTACCAAGGTCTGTAGTGACAGGACAAGAAGCAACAGTTTTAAACTGAAAGAAGGTTGATTTAGATTTGATATAAGGAAGAAAATTACTACAATGAGGGTGGTGAGATACAGAAACAGGTTGCCCAGAGAAGCTGTGGCTGCCCCACCATTGGAAGTGTTCAAGGCCAGGTTGGATGGGGCTTTGAACAACCTGATCTAGTGGAAGGTGTCCCTGCCTGTGGCAGTGAGGTTGGACTAGATGATGTTTAAAGGTCCCTTCCAACCCAAATTGTTCTTTAGTTTTGTCGTTCTATGATGTTATGACTGTCCAGATCACTGCTGTTGCTTTCCTGTCAATCTGTATTGTTTCTTCAGCTTGTCTCACTCTACTAGGCACACACCTCCCTGGAAGACTACCTAGCGAAACCCTTATGTGTATCTGGTTTATATTTCTCAGTGGTTTAGTATGTTTCATTGTTTTCAGTTGTGATCTGTATCTGTGTTTTGTTTGGAGATGGCAAGGTTTCAGCCACTTCGTTTCTTAAAGGAGGTCTATAGTTTCTTACAGTTATCACAAAGAAAAGATAACAGTTGTATGTTGCAAGTTCACTGAGGTTTAATCAAATCCACAATATAAAAGTGTTGTGGAAGAGCCAGGAAACAAATTTTTTGCCTTTCTCCTTCTTCCAGTAGCTATCTGTTAGAGAAAGAGATGGAAGTTTCAGTGTCCCTTCATGGTAGTGGTTATGCATTTTTATCATTTGCATTGGTAGCCACTGGATGTCACTAATGATTCACAGAAACATAGAAATCTGTGCACTTTTTCCAAACGGTAAAAAAAATACTTAAAGAACACAATGTCTGGAGAGGAAGCATTTCTATGTGAAATGAGAGCAAATTTTATCACTGTGCAGTAAGGACAGATCTGGTTGGGATTGCCAAGTTGTGTTGAACTTCATGACTTTTTAGATAGCAAACAGATCATCCATTGTACAACTCTAGGGAACAAAGCCTGCAAAGTTTCTTGCATGGCTTCGTTAAGAGGGATGAGCATAACCAAGCTGGAAGAGAAATTCCACATGGGAAAATGTAAGTGTGAGTTGTGGTATATGTATAATGGATATTGCACATAAGTGTACACATTCACATACGCACTGTCCACCTAACACCTAATAACACCACAAGAGAGGAAATAATGAAAAAGGCTCAGATGTGCCATTATTGTTAAGAGTTAAGAGTAAAAATGCACATCTGAGGATTTTAATAAGTGTACTTGAATATGGCAAAGCATCTTCTGGCCAACATCACCATATATGTGTTGCTACTGCTGTGCCTTTTGCACTGCAACTCTCAAGAAGACAACATACCAAATGGCTTAATTCTGCATTGATTTTTGCATTAAATTAGCAACCACTAGAATACCTGATACAGATGTGTGTAGAACTTCCAGACTTCTGTTCAGGAAATCCTAGAGAGATATTTCTATTTACACAGCATATATGCCAGACATCAGACATACCCCAGCTGCTTCGGATTTACTGTGAATGTACAGATAAACTGTGCAGCCGCCATGCAAGGGACAGCTGTCTACTGCAGTCCAGGCAGCTGTTTTGTTCAGGTCCACTGGCCTCAGACACACTCCTGTTGCCTGGAATGCCACGAATTTCCTGACATACCCGGTCAATCTGCTCGTGCACTACCAGCCATCTGCCAGGGGCTGCCTGATTTCTAGAATGCTAGAAAAATAGCCTCTACTCTTCTCTGCAGAAAAAATTTCTGCTTTTTCTTCTAGGACATAAACTGCGGGAAGGAAAAGAAGGCGTGCTGGTCACAAAATCAAGCAAGCATCCAGAGAGCAGAAATAAAGGTACCCCATAAATACAGTATAACCATTGCAGTCTGGGGACTGGCTCACACGTTAAGGCAAGTTGCCCTTCTACATGAACACATATTTGATCAAATTATAATTTCCTTCCTTGTTCTTTTACTGCCTCTGTTTTGAATACTATTACTTTTGCTTTGTCCACTGTCAGTTCCTTCCATTTCATTTTAAAGTTTCATCCCTGTTTCTAAGTTGTAGTCGTGTTAATGTTTGTGTGCTCATTAAAGCCCAGCCACAACTGAAAGTGATAGTGACAATGGTATATGCAAGGTGCAAATTTTACTATATGGGATTAAAAAAAAACCCAGGCAGACTATAATGAGGTTCAGTACACTAATCACCTTGGTATAACTCTTATGACTTCAGGTGGATTATACCAATAGAAAAAAAATTTAGTTTCTTAATATGTACAAAAAGACACGCTGAGCTATGAGGCAGTCTCCGTCAATGGGAGTCAAATGTAAGAGAGAAATCTGCAGTTTTAAGGGTCTGATCATTCTTGGACAGCATAACCATAGCTCTCTTTTATCAGTGCTTGGGCCAAGGACAGATGCTTACAAGATGTGCTACCAGGTCCTTTGTGGGACTGCATCCTGGTCTAAGACCTTGGAGAGCTGAAACTTTAATCTTAGCTCTGACATTAAGTTCCTTTTTGATCAGTGGCAATATGCTTGACCTTTACTTGACTCCATTTCTGTATATTTTTAAAAATGACTCTGCACAGCTAGAAGGTTAGAGTGATACTATTTTTTAAAAAAATACTGAACTCTATTTAAGTTAAGCTTACCCAGAGGTTCAGAAAAACCTGTCTTTTATGAGAAAAGCTATATTTGATTGGAAATAATTTTTCCCCTTTCTATCAGGATGCTGTCAGCCTGCATCTTTTTCTTCTGAGAAGAATTCTTAATCCTCATGCAGATGGGAAGTAACAATAAACACCATCTGCTGCAAATTAGGTTACTCTCTTAGCAACGAGTGAGATCAAGCTCCCATTTTCTGTGCTGAAGTACACACTGGCACTTCAGATTGTAACAGAGCAAGTGATCAGAAACAAAGTGGAAATGAAAAATGAAAAATCTTACTCCTCTCCTGGCGACATCCTTCCCATTCCTGCCTACCCTGCAGTTTTATTGCTGTACACCAAAAAGGCCAACTCTGCTCCTCACCCCATATTCCTCCATCTCCCAGCACCTCCCAGGGGAGTGGGAGCAGCATCATGAAATGCTGGCAACCTCTCATGGCTGCTAGGTGCTGGGAGCCAGCCCAAAAAGTAAATAGGATCAGCAGGGAAGGACTACGTACCAGTTGAGAGGTGATTTAAAGCTGTCTGCCGCTGGCAGAGCTCACACAAAAAAGGGCTAGCAAGGCACTCCATTGCTACCTGGCCTCCCCTGGCAGGACCCATCCCCTGACCTGCATCCATGGGTACCACTTGCCTCCCCACCCAGCCATCAGCCTTCCTCTATCCGGGTCCACTCCGGGATTGCTCAGTGGTTAGAATCATAGAATCGTAGAATGGTTTGGGTTGGAAGGGACCTTAAAGATCATCTAGTTCCAACCCCCCTGCCACAGGCAGGGACACCTTCCACTAGACCAGGTTGTTCAAAGCCCCATCCAACCTGGCCTTGAACACTTCCAATGGTGGGGCAGCCACAGCTTCTCTGGGCAACCTGTTTCTGTATCTCACCACCCTCATTGTAATAATTTTCTTCCTTATATCAAATCTAAATCAACCTTCTTTCAGTTTAAAACTGTTGCTTCTTGTCCTGTCACTACAGACCTTGGTAAAATGTCTCTCTCCATCTTCCTTATAGGCCCCCTTTATAAATTGAAAGGCTGAAATAAGGTATCGCAGAGCTTTCTCTTCTCCGGGCTGAAAAACTCCAACTCTCTAAGTTCTTCTTCATAAGAAAGGTGTTGCAGCCCCATGACCATTTTCATGGCCCTCATTTGGACTCACTCCAACAGGTCCCTGTCCTTCTTATGTTAGGGGGCCCCAGAACTGGACACAGTACTCCCAGTGGAGTCTCACGAGAGTGGAGCAGAGGGGCAGAATCCCCCCCCCTCAATCTGCTGGCCATACATCTCTTGATGCAGCCCAGGGTATGGTTGGCTTTCTGGGCTGTGAGTGCACACTGCTGGCTCATATTCAGTTTCAATCCACTAATACCCCTGAGTCCAGCCTGTATTTGTGCTTGGGATTGCCTCAACCCATGTGCAGGACCTTGCATGTGGTCTTGTTGAACTTCATGAGGTTTGTACGGGCTTACCTCTCAAGCCTGTCAAGTTCCCTCTAGATGGCATCCCTTCCCTCCAGTGTGTCAATTGCACCACACAGCTTGGTGTCATCGGCAAACCTGCTGAGGGTGCACTCAATCCCACTGTCCATGTCTCCAACAAAGATGCTAAGCAATGCCGGTCCCAACACCAACCCCTGAGGAACACCACTCATCACTGCTTGCCACTTGGACATCAAGCTGTTGACTGCAACTCTTTGAGTGTGACCATCCATCCAATTCCTTATCCACCAAGTGGTCCATCCGTCAAATACATGTCTCTGCAATTTAGAGACAAGGATGTTTTGTGGGACCCCCTTATTTTATATGTGCCCTAGCACAGTTTCCAGGAGGATCTGCTCCATGATCTGGCTAGGCACAGAGGCGAACTGACTGGCCTGTAGTTCCCCGGGTCTTCCTTTTTTCCCCTTCTTAAAAATGGAGGTTATGTTTCCCCTTTTCCAGTCAGCAGGAACTTAGCAGACTGCCACGACTTCTCAAATATGATGGATAGTGGCTTAGCCACTTCATCTGCCAGTTCCCTCAGGACCTGCAGATGCACCTCATAAGGTCCCATGGACTTGTGCAGCTTCAGGTTCCTTTGATGGTCTTGAACCTGATCTTCTCCTACAGTGGGTGGTTCTTCATTCTCCCAGTCCTTGCATTTACTTTCTGCATTAGGCGGTGTGGCTGGAACATTTGCCAGTGAAGACTGAGGTAAAAAAATCATTGAGTACCTCAGCCTTCTCCGTATCCCAGGTAACCAGGTCTCCCATTTCCTTCTAGGGAGGGCCCACATTTTCCCTAGTCTTCCTTTTATCACCAACGTACCTATAGAAGCTCTTCTTGTTGCCCTTGACATCCCAGGCCAGATTTAATTCTACCAAGGCTTTGGCCTTCCTAATCCGATCCCTGGCTGCTTGAACAATTTCTCTGTATTCCTCCCAAGCTTCATTTTTGTGTTGCAGCATGTCAAGTTGTTTAGGACAGCAGGTGTCTGAGCAGACGCTTGTCGTTAACTTAGCAGGGCATCTCTCCATGCAAAGCTCTCCTGTGCTGTGACAAGGTGATTTTCAAAGAGAATGGTCTGGGTTTTCCATTATTTTATATGGTGCCTGATCGGCACTCTCTTTTGGTAATGTCCACAAGGTCTTAACCAGGTTCAGGCAGCCATTAATTCAAATGCTGTGCAGATCACAGATTCATATGCACTCTCAGATCATAGAAATTCACAGTCTTCAGAAGTAATTTAAAGCATCTTTCAGATGCAGCTATATAAGGAGATGTTATCTTTGCCCTGAAATCACCAAAAATACACTTGTAGATAAAGGGCTTGAATTTGACTCACTGCCAGGAGAAAGATCTCTTTACTCTTTATTCAAATATTTGTGAAAAAATTTGCACATCTTGTCAGTTTCAAGAGCTCCTCATAGAAATAGTGTATGTGTCATTCATTTTCTGTATTTGTCATGCTACGGTTTCCAGTTAATGCGCCGGTAGGTGAGCATTGGCATGATTAGTCACTGGGAACCAACCTTTTTAATCTGCTTAGAAAATTTTACTGGCTTTGTATTGGATTTGTTAAATTAACACGTGACACTCCAGAAGTTGTGAGACTCAGCTAATTGCAATGTGCCATATACAGTATTCAATGCTTCTAGGATATGTCATACACCACTGAGTGTGTACACATCTGCTGATCAGCCAATGCTCCTGAGAAGTGCAGGATTTATGGGCACCTGCACTAAACCATCCACATGTTCATGTGTTGGTCTTGCAGGTCAATCACTGTACATCTGATCTATTGATGCTCTGAGGAAATATCGCAGCTTTCCAGACATACAATAGCTTGGTTGGAGCTAGTGAGAAATGATGCCAGCTGCCCAGAAATCATAGGTGAATGTGAAAGATCTTCTCATTCTGCACAGGCAGAATTTTTAAATGGAAAGAGACCATATCTGAGACATATGGTAACCCAAACTACACATAAGAGATGCAGGCTGTGAGTCACTGTCGTTGTCTAATGCTGTACAGTTAGAGCTAGGAAAAAAACAAGGCTATGATTTGCAATCTTCATTCTGTCCTTAGGCCAGCTTTGTCAGATTCTTACTTCGGCTACCAATTTACACAGGGCAATAAATGATCAGACATGAGCTCATATTTTCTGTCGATTCCACCATTTTCTGCTTGTCCTCTGCTGTCTAAACTTAATGAACTGCTCTTGTCAGGACACTTGTGCAGACAAGTGCCTTTGTTAAAAAAAAATTCCCCCTGACCTCAGCTACAGTATAGAAAGATATTGTAATTGCAGATTAAATTTTCAATCAACTAGTTTTATGGTGCTTCTAGTTTAGATAGTTTATAACACTTCGAAGGGACTACATATCTGAAAGCCATGCTTGAGGCTTCTTAAGAATCAGATCCCTACAAGATGAATCACATTAAGCATCTGAAAAGCAAGGCAGGCAATATCATGAGTCATTTAATAAAAAAGTAGAACATATCTGTGCTTTACCAGTGATATAATTATGTGCACTATGTTAAGAAAGCTCTTCTTATTAAAAAGAATTTTTAGCGTGCACCCTCCTGAGATATAAGCAAAGAAATTAGCAATAGAAACTACCTGTTTGGTCATTAAGTCCATCCCTTCACAGCTGGATAATTGCTGTGCAATAAAGAACACAAATAGCCCAAATAAGCTTAAATTTC